AAGCGCCTCGAGAAAGTTGACATGGATTCTATGGATCGATTGCTCATTCGTCAATGTGCTCTCGGCGAGGTGGACAAGGATCCTTCCACTCTCTTCAACAAGGACATATGGTTCTTCGCCGTCGTTGGTGACGACAGGTCTTTTGGGGGCTTCATCCAGGCACTTATGTCGTGGTTGTGGGTAGCTCTGCTACAGGGTGCCGCCTTCGGCGACGTGTATAGCCACGTCATGCATTGCATCAGTGCTGCTGGCTTCAAATCGCCCTTGACCGGGAGGAATGCTGGTACTGTGGTCGCTATACAGTACGACGAGCAGATGCGTAAGGATGCCGGGTGTGCTATGGCTATGAGCTCTCTTTCGATAAGGGAAGCTTGTTCTAGCTTGTCCCGCCTTGATTCCAATAGGCTGATACTACTTATCGGTAAGGCCTCTGATAACCACAATAAGTCATCTTATAACAACAAATCGTCCTACAATAACTCTAGAGGTGGAGCTCACCGTTACGGTGGGAAGAAGAGACCCTTCACTGATGAGGGCGAGGAGCTTTGGAAAAAGGTTAACGGCAAATGGGTCAAGGTTCAAGGCTCGTCGGCTAGTGGCTCTAAGAAGGCCAAATCTGGCGATGTAAGCTGAGCCCTTTTCTTTTTCCCTCACTCCTTCTTTTATGGTCATGTCATCGTTTCGCCCGACCACTCGAGTTAAGGTTGTGTTGTTCAGTGTTCACCCGCGGACGTGACCGTCTTTTGGGAAGCGCAGAAGTTCTTATCGGGGGGCTCCTATCACGGGTTCATTGGGGTCCGGATAGGTCGCTCACCGATAATGCGACCTCGTTTGCTGCCGGAATTTCGTCGGATCACACCTATCAAGGATTCATTGGGGGTCTGGATAGGTTGCTCACCGATGAAATCTCCTTGATCGGGCCGGCTAACAAGCCTGACCCTCACCCAATCTACGGCGTACGGGCCGCGGGTTTGGGGGTTGGTCAGAGCTAACGTCTGATCCTTTCCCGATCGTGGCGTACGGGCCACAGGTTATTCGGGAAAGGAGG